ATCAAGTGTAAAATCTGGATGATTCGTCCTTGGAAGCCTTGATGGTGAATGTTTACATTATCTCCATTGAAATCCAAATCCCTGCCTGATTTCCTTGAGAAAGGTGGGCACGGAGAGCACAGTGACTGCCCCCCATGCCCAAGCACCCACCCCACCAGAGTCACAGACCCCTCCCTAGCCATGCCCACTAATGCCCCTAACACCCCAAAGTCACGCCCCCAGCGGCCAGATCGAGTACTCCCTTCCCTAGCCATGCCCCTTACGCCTGAGTCACACGCACTGTGCACGTGCCATGCCCCCATGCCCAAGTCGTGCCCTGGCGCTAGGGTGGCATATCCGTAGCCATGCCCCTCACCCCTGAGTCACGCCCCTCACGCCTCAGTCACGCCCACTGTGTGCATGCCATTCCCCCACGGCTGAAACATGCTCCCGCCCTAAGGCACTCTCCCTAGCCATGCCATCATGCCCTAGCCACACCCTCTGCGACCGACCCACACCCCTACCCCTTCTGAGTCACACCCCAAGCCACAGTGGCGCTTGTCGCACCCCCACTTCCATTTATGCCCTGGAGTCACACATCCCCACCTACCTCCCTCCATACCTCGCCCCCCACGCCTGAGTCACTCCCCCGCTGAGTCAGGTCCCGCTTCTAGTCGTGCCCCACCATGCCCATCTCCCCACCCCTAGTCGCACCTCCCTTTCGATTCACACACACACACCCCAGCCATGTCCCCTGCCCACCAGCACCCCACCCCTTCTGCTGTTTTGGACACGCAGGCTCCTGAAGTCGGCACGTCTCCTCTCACTACTGCTCAGACGGGGGTCTCAGGCCTCAGCTTCCTCATCTGTAAAATGGGATCTGGACCAGATGCTTCCTTAGTCGCTTGAGGCACTAAGATGTGGAGATTCTGCAAAACTGAAGTTCTAAATTAGGAATATTCAGGGCCCCTTTGTCAGAGCCTCTCCGTGGGTCGTGGGGACTGATGTGGATTTACAGGTGGTCGTATGGATTTACCTCGCGTGCTTATGTTGATAGTAGAACATCGATCATGATAGAGCGTCTGAATTACTATTGCTCCCAGTGTGATGGGTTCAGCGTGGAAATGAGATGATCAGAGGGGAAGGGCCTGGAGAGGCAGTGCCTGCCTCGTACATTCTAGACACTCAGCAGATTTACTTGTTAAATAAATGAACAATTAAGTGAGTGTTTATTGTCTACTAAGTGCTTTTCCTATAGCAGGAGTCCCTGGGGGCACAAATGGTTAAGCACTCAACTGCTAACTGAAAGGTTGGTGGTTAAAGTCCACCCTCATGTGCCTCATAACAAAGGCCTGGGAATCTACTTCCAAAAAATCAGCCATTGAAAACCCTATGGAGCACAATTCTACCCTGACACATAGGGGGTCACCATGAGTCTGAGTCAACTCTACGATAAGTTGTCTGTTTTTTTTTTTTCCTCATAGCATCCCATTTGATCCTCAGAATTTCCACCACTGACATGTTGTCCTTATTTTAAATTAAACCCAGAGAAAGTGGGCGCAGCTAGGAAGTGGAGGGCCTGGGAGTCAGACCTGGGTCTCTCTGGCCCAGAGCCCCTACTCTTCCCTCTTCTTACTATTGAAAAGCTCTCAGAAAGCTTAGGAAGCAAAGTTATGCATTTTAAGTGAAATATTTGAGCCCAGACCTCAGGCAAAATTACTTCCTACCTGTGTGGAAGAAATTTCTTAATCCATGCCTGCTGTGACATGTTTCTCCAGTGAGAAAGGGTCTTTTCTCAGGGGGGTGACACAAATGGTTTGTGCTCGACCACCAACTGAAGGGTTGGCGGTTCAAATTCATCCAGTGGTGCTGCGGAAGAAAGGTCTGGTGATCTACTTCCATAAGATTGCAGCCATTAAAAACATTATGGAGCAGTTCTACTCTGACATGCACGGGGTTGCCATGAATTGGAGGTGACTCGACAGTGGTAGGTTTCGGGTTTTTTCTCGGGGTGGAGGGGTTTCATTTCCATTTGGATTTTGTGTTTCCC